TTATATCCATTAACCTCGAAAAAGACCCCAGATCATGACCCAGAGTCAGTTTTGGAATCAAACCAGCATTCAGTGTCAGAGAACTCAACATTATAGAATTTCTTCAACAAAGGTAATGGTATTATTCTGTAGCATTGAAAAGACAAAAGTGCTTAAACCTCTGCCGCCAGCAATACCAGCGTCCGGTTCTTTTTAGTCTGCAGGTGGCCTCTAAGGCTTCCCCATGTATGAAAACACAAAGTGACGGTAAGTGCAGCAGTGCGTCAAGAGCACTATACATAACGCTAAAAAATTAAAGTTAATTAAAAAGGCTATCAAGCAATCATTTTGGTTCTTTACATCGAAACCAGATACATTTTCGTGAACCCCCATTTACAACTCATGGACCTCCATATTTTGTTCACGTCACTCTGGACCCCCGTCGAGTCCACCTGGACCACTTTGGGAATCACTGGTTTAGATAAATTATCCGGTCAATAAATCTTGCAAGTGTAAAATCAACATTTAAAATCTTGACACGACCAAAAGAAAAAAAAACAAAAAATTCATATCTATAAATAAACTATGCCAGGCAATAGTCAATTGAAAAGACTGCGCAAAGAGCCCACCTACCAGGAAAAACAGCAAAATTCCAAAAGCTGTGAGGGTCAGTTAAAAAAAAAAATCCATATCTAAATGCTTAGCAAAGTTGTTATGACGAAGGACAACTAAACACAATAAGAATAATAACAAAAGGAGACCAGAGCTGCGACCTCCAGCATTGAGAAAGTTAAGCGGCAAAAAATTCCATGACCAGGAATGTCAATCAATCTAGAAAATATTGTATACGCTTTGTTTAACAAGCAACGCTCAAGGAGGCGCATCACAGTTAAGCCAAAAATAAGCAAGGAGGCGGAACGTGAAATGAAAAAAAACCCCACACAAAGGAATATTGAAGCAACAAAAATAAAAGAGCTTATGCAAAGAACAAGCGGTAACAAAAAAAAAAGAAAAAGAAATTGTGAACATACTCGGCGACAACAATTTTTTTATGCGCTGCAGCTAATCGGCTTAGCTGTCAGCCATCGTACAAAGCTTCCAGGCGTACTCAGGCCACCCTGACAATTGGTTCGCCTCTGGACTTGCCAACGATGTGAACTCATGTGTTCATTTAGATTTTTACCGCATCAACGACATTATGCTCCAACGAAGCTGGTAGCCCTAAGACAATTAGCTTTACTGTTCTTTTGTGTGTTTGCTTGAGGATTGACATCTAAGCTAATATATGACGGCGATTTTCCTGTTTCTTTTCTGTTATCATTATTTTTTCTCGTGTATCCTTCCTCTGGATCCTTTTGAATTTGTCTGAGTATTCCGATCCCAGCTAAGCATAGTTTGGCTTGTTGTCTTTTCTGGGGCTTGGTTGTTGTTCTCATCACTAACTTCTGATTACTTGTGAGCCCGCCGTACAGCAAAGAAGAAAAATTTAAGCTCTGCACTGTCTTTGTCGCCATAATGAAGCGTGTTTTTAGGCGTTTTTTCGATGTGCGTGTCAGATGTAGTAAATTTATGTATGTTCGGCTCAAGCGTATTTATTTGGGCTTAAGCTTGCTTGCTTTGCAATGTTTGTTACTGTGGTGCTGACGTATAAAAAATGTCAAATGCTACGCAACGCGCCCTATACTAAAAATAGTTAACTAACTATGCATCTTTAATGTCAACTGTCTCTACATACATATATGTACACAAATACAGCTAATATATGTATGTACATAGTATCATTCTCATAGATACATGACTACTTATTTAAGTACATAGAAGTTTCGATAGTGTTTTACCTTTTTGCTGCTCATTCTAAGCTTGCCCGTGTTGTCTTCTTGCCTCATTATGAGTAGTTGCCCGTTACCTGCATGCGCCCTGAAGTATGCAAATATGCTCGTTGACAGAAAAACTTATTTAGCTTTTCCTCTTACACACTTATTCACAATCACATTTGTAGGCCAATTTTGCTTTTTATTAATTCAAATCTACGAATGGATCTGCCTGAACTTAGATACACACATACATATGAACATACAGGATCAACATGCTTGTGTGCATCCGCATGTTTTGAGGTTTTTGCTGTTTGTAATTTATCTTTTCGCGCTATGATACTTGTCCGCAGCAGTTTTTACCGTTTTATATTGTTATTGCCATTTCTGCGGTTAGTGGTTTTTAGTTGCAAGTTCATCCGCAGGGGCACTGAGTTGTGGTTTGCATTTGAAAGTTTTCATTTTTTGAGCATAATTGCTGCAATTGAGGTTAAATGCCTAAAATTGTTGTTAACATGGCTTTAGTAAACTGATAGCGGCCACACAACTGTGTTTAAAAGGGAGATTTTTCTCAAACTGCAGGTAAGACCAAAGTAGCAACATAAAAAATACACAGACAAAATATTTACCTTCATACATATGTCTTAATAAGGAAGGCACATATTCGCTCTAAAATACATAGAAAAATGTGCATTATTTGTCGAATATAAAAAATTACTTGCCCTGGCAGACAATAGTTTCCTAAATTACTCTCTTGTCATGGCGCACAGTGGTTAAAAGGCTAACACGTTATGAAGAAATTTTCTGCGAAATAGTAGTATTCAAGGGCACAGTGTTGTATGAATCGTATTTCTACTAAAGAATTATAATTAAAATTTCAAGGACGCAAAAGTGGTAGTCGAAGGATCTGTTGCTGCTGGATTTGTCATTGCTTTTAATAAATAAAATTATAGTTTAAAAAACTAAAACCTCCCTATTATAATTGACATTCGTATTGTCATCAGGTATGTAACTTGAGAATAGAAATCGCTGCATCTTTTAGGCGCATCAATATTACATAGTTACATCCCGAGCTAATAAGAGGAAGGTAATAAAAAAAAGATCAATGGTACACAAGTGTTAGGGCCAAATTCACAGTGCGTAGTTAACTCAGAATCGGCAGTTAACTACAGATTTTTATACTGAAAAACTTTAGTTAACTGTCGATTCCGAGTTAACTACGCACTGTGAATTTGGCCCTTAATCCTTTCAGAATTGAGAGCATGTACTTACATATATGATAAATGCATTTTCAGTGATTTTATGAGGAGCTAAAAAGAATGCTGGCTTGGTCATGTCGTTCGAATGGACACCGACGCTCCAGCTCTGAAAGTATTCAACTCGAAACCCGCTGGTGGTAGCAGAGGAAGAGGGAGGCCCCCACTGCGATGGAAAGATCAGGTGGAGAAGGACTTGGCTTCACTTGGCGTTTCCAATTGGCGTCAGTTGGCACAGAGGAGAAACGACTGACGTGCTTTGCTGAACTCGGCCGAAATCGCTTAGGCGGTTACAGCGCCAAAAAAGAAGAAGAAGAAGAAAAAGAATGCGTCCGACTCGTTTCTCTTGTTAGTTTCATCAGATTTTACTGAAAAATATATATGTAGTACTTTTGTCTGGGAATAAGGAATAATATGTATTTATTGATGAACTCCTATACTTCTAGACGAACACTATATAAGGGTTTTTATAAAATTGGGTTTTTACATTATTTTTATATCGCAAGTGCGCGAGGAAGCTGGCCGGTTTTGGACAGCTTTTAGATTCAAGTTTTTATAATTAAAACTAAGATAAAAAATAAATTTTATTAAAACCGAAACACATTTACCATTTCCTCGCCCTTGTGAAGTGGAAAATATACTACAAACAACAAATTATAGCTAAATTCGAGCACCACTGCTACTTTTTTCCTGGTTTTATATGTGTGTCGTTGTACTGTGTGGCGTATTTGGTTATCTATCAACACCACCATTTAGTCCGATTGAAATAGAAAGTTCAAGCCACTAAAAATTTTCTATATTTATTCATATACATATATATGTTTACGCTTTAAATTAAAAAAATTCATCGTTTACTAAAATGCTTAATTTTATGAAGGCTGAAGTTATATGTATCAAGTGTAGTAGAAAATTAGTTATTCGAATTTCGCAGGCTAACGAGCAATACTAGGTCGAAGGGCTTATAGAAAGATGTGTTATCTTACCTCTTGCTATAAATATTTGTCCAACGTTATAGCACACTTTGAATCCGATTCATAAGCAAGTAAAAAATAGGAAGAAATTTCGATTCCAGCTATTTTTTGCACTCGTCAAATACGAACATATTTGGGATCCTAAACTCCCTTTAAATTAAGCTTTCAAACTAGGATAGATAACTGCAACCTCTTTTCTATGCCCATGGAGATAACGTAGTTGCACCAAGCTAATACCGCTTGTATGATATACACAATATTGACTGACGTGAACTGGCAGAATTATTGTGGGACAGATTCGTTAATACGGCAACTCGCAGAAGTCATATTTACAAGGAAATAAGTACAATAGATCAATAGGTTCTACTTAAAATGAAAAAGTTTCTGTCAATTTTTAATTTTGGCGAATTAGTATTTAATTAAAAAGTGTTATTGAGCTTTTTAGCACGATTTGTTTGTTAGGAAAAATGAAAAAAAACAGCAAAGATTAAACGGTAGAAGTTATAGCAGCTAGTATTTCGGAGATCACCACATCTCATCATCAGACTTCTTTTTTCTCTAGACTTTCAGCAGGGATCGAACCCGAATCATCGATGTGCAAAGTCAGAATTGCTATGCAAACCCCGTAAGCTCTTTTTGCTGGTACGTATGACAAAAACTTTATAAGAACCCGCTAAGTGCTTTCGTTGTGGAGGTACCTACAGTTTTACACCGCCGTCGATCGGCTTATTCATCGCACCTCATATGAAGCAACGGGTATTCTTGAGCACAGCTGTAAAAGTAACGTACACGTAAAATACGTTATGAGCAGATGACAAAAAATTAAATTACTCTTTATTTGAAATACTAATAGCCTTTATCGGCTAACAGATTTTCTAAATATTAGAAATTTATATGAACGACCTTTTTTTTTTAATCGAAACCCGTTATGTGGCGATGTGGTCTGAAATAGACATGGCCGAAAACATATGTAGTTTTTCGGAGTAAGCCACCGATTTTACATGGAATTTTGATGGTTTAATTCTTGGGTGTAATGGGACTACTGAAGGGCAAACAGAAAGGCAGAAAGCTCTCCACAGTAGGTTCTTCAAATGATGAAGAAATGAAGAAAAAGCTGGATATTAATTTCTTACATTCGATTTGGTGGCAAGATTCCTCTGAATAGATATTGGCGAAATAAGAAAGAGTCATGTATTTTAATATATATATATACATACATACATAATCATTAATTATTTATATTTATTATATCGCTTTCCAGCTAGGAACAGCCAGAAATATTCAACATACATTAGACAGTTTAATTGAATCGCCCAAACTAAAGTATTCGAGTTCTTCGTTAATTTTAAAAATTCTAAAGAGGAAAATATATGTATAAAAACATTTTTCTTTTTAATTTTTCTAATACATATTTTTATTTTTTTTAATTTTGTTATTCACTTCCGGCGCTCTTCTTCGATCGGCTCGATCTCATCACTGTGATGTTCAATATTAACTCGCGCACAGATAACAATTCCAAAACTATACTCGCACGGATCATCCTCCATGTCATTTGCCGCTTTGCATTCTATCATGTTCTCATAACTTTCATCACTCAATATACCCCATTCGTGCATAGAATCCGCCATGATTTTTCCATTTTCATCCAAAATGCCCATTCCATCCAGCAGACAATTTGCATAGCATTTGAACTTCTGTTCAACGTCTTCGGGGCTTGGGTCATCGGGAAACTGATCCAATTCCTCCTGAGTGATATTGTTCCGCTCTTGACAAGCCTCCATAAAGCTCTTAGTAGATGCAGCAGGTGTCTGTACATAGATCGATGAACAAGTGTCGGCATTTGAGGATTCGTTAACAAAAATGTTTGAACAATTACTGGCACCGAAATTTTTGATACAAAGGCTTTTTTCGTGATTTTTTGTTTCACACTTACCGCATTCACTCCTCCTAATGACGACAAAAATAGCATTACAGCAGTCAGTAGCATCAACCAAGCTGGAATAGGTAATGCCATTCTGAGGCCGTTGCTGTGCGTCGCCTCCTTTGCAATGGCTTTTTTACGATTCACTTCAAATTGATACATCCTCAGCCGGTTGAACAGCAAAAAGGTACGTTTTGACTTTTGTGCGAAATTGAGCAAAAAAAAGTGGCTGCGTTTGCTGCCTCCACTCGAATCGTTTTACGTTACACAAAGCGTTTTTACCTGTCTGCCGACCAGCGAAAAATTCAGCACTAATGAAAAACTTTCGAAGCCGCTGCACATTTTTATATGCAAAAAGTTTTGATTCGGTATTGTTTTCCTCCCTAGCGCTGCTGATGCCGCCGCCATTGCTATCGGACGTAGTTTTTCGTGTGCGCAATCCGATACGCAGCAAAAATGCAAACTCAATAAAGAGTCGGATAAAAATTAAAAGTCGCGTTTGTAAGCGCAATTTCAACACAAACACTTTCGACTAACTTCCGCGGGGTGCCGCCAACCGCTTTTGCTTCACTTTGCCAACGTATAATATAGGACCTTCATAATTTAATTACACTGATTCCGGTTGCAGATAAATGCTCTGTGTGGTAGTGATTAAAACTTATGTATGTTCGCTAAAACAACCATAACGAAAGTGCTTTGATTTGCATCGCACTCGTATTAATTGCTATTGAGATTTAAATTACAGCAATCATTTAGAGATGAGTCGGTGAAATTATTTAAACATTTACCGAGAAGTGAGTTCCTAATGGGTCGGAATTTTCAGACGTTGGTGTTGTGCACTGTAATTTGTTTTAGCTAGAGATGTATCTAAAATACATAAGTGCATGAATATAAGAATACAATTTTGTCGCGTACTCGCCGCAACTTTATTTGATATATTCCTTCGTTTCATCCTTATTCACTCGAACCGATAGGACCGAACTCTACCAGCAACTAGGTCTATTAATTAAAGCTTAGTTTGAAGAGCAATGTTGCTGATTTTCGTTGGTGTGCTAACACATTGGGGAAATGGTCTTCAACAGATAAGAGAAAGAGATAATGTGAAAAAACTCCAATAGGGGCTACGCCTTTTTTTTATTATCGCGGCACTTTTGTTGTCCGTCGAATAATGGAAATAGCAAACTCCATGGATCTTGTATGTGTGCGCCGTGGTGACGACCACCAAAGCGTCCAATTCCCTTTTAGTATTAATGGGCCGGCGCCAATTGATGGGGCACCAACAACACCGGCATTGAGGCCCGATGGTTTTGCGGACCGGCGCGGAGCTGACGCGCCCGGGCAAAACCTAGTGAGCATTGAATAGGGAAACATCCCTATTGTGAGCGAATTTGTGCGGTATTAAAAAAACGAAAATTTTAGTGGCGCTATACCAGACGTGCTATTTTGGTGTGTTCATAGTTTTGTATAAGTTCCAGGAGACTTAGGCGCTGAAGGTGAGCAGGCAAAACGAGAAGTGGCGTCAGTCGAGACGGTAAATCAAATGGCCGGCAGTGACGGGACCGGATTTGGGCGGCGCAAGCCCGCGGGAGCATCTATTGGTCGACGAACACCCCGACAACAGCTTAAGTATACCTTGTGTTGTCACCTGTATTTGGTATGTAGCGTTGTCGGTAGATTCCACCATATTGTATCCCAGGTCCTTCCTTTTAGCATCCTTCACCCAGAGCCCAGTCACTTGGCGGGTGAATGTTACCCCCGGGTATTGCGAGTGGGTTCGTAACCTCGGGTGCACCAACAAACAAGGTTTTGTGTATTGCATTTTTTTTGCTTAGTATCGTTTGTTTTGTCTTTTGAATGCTCTTGGTCGCCCTAAGAGTAATATTTGTACGTTAGTTCGTTATATACATATTTTTAGTTGGTGCGGTTGCCCATGTAATTGTTGTTGTCCCATCTCCCTAATTCGGTCATTTAGTTGTATCGCATAGTCTTGTTGTCTTCTCCACCAGCAACCCCGCTTTCCTCACTGAGTCAGCCGGTTGCAGATTTTTTGTCACATTGTTTTTCTGAAAATATAATTTATAATGGATAATTGATAATTGTGTTTCTGTCAGAAAGGTAGCGTCTCCGAGATGGTTTAGATCCGATTATTGGATCACGAATTAACGGTACTCTTAAATTTGTATATGAGAATTGAAATCGGATGTGTTTGTTGTTTAAAAATTACTTGTTTAATAAAAAGTACTATAAACACAACATGCGCTCAACTTCCAGTAGGTAATACAAAATTTAAAAAAATTATTTTAATGCAAATAAAATAACTAGTACCAACAAATTTTTACACTTTTATATTAATTTTCATCAATTTCTGGTTTCTGTTTTTCGATGGATATAGTGATTTTTCACTATTGCCTCATTCCAAGTCGTTAAATTATTAAGTTCAAATAAGAAAATTTATAAGTTTAATCACACGTATAACATTTAGTTAACTTTTTAGAGCAACTGGGTTTAAAGAAGACTTCGTCTAATCGACGATCATCAGTATTAAGGTGTGTAAAATATGGTTAGTACTCTAGAGTTAAATAGAATGCTAATGAAAGTACGTTCTGTTTCTACAGCAGCCTTTATTTTTCTAAACGATTATATTTCTGGTACTCTCACCTTATCTTCCACTCGACGTAATTACGCCAGCCATTCATTCGTTTGCCCCACTAATGGTTAAAATAAGGGTATTACACTGCTTTTCAAATTGCGTACAACTTCATTCAGCAGCGCATTTATTCCGCTTGCATTGGCGCCTTTCCCCCCAAAAACGTCAAAGTCAATGGCCAGTCATTGGAATTGATGTACTACTTGCAGTTGCAACTGACTACTCGCCACTAGCATTTGTTGCAGTGTCCTTCTCTAGTATTTTTATTTTTGTATGGTTTTACAACCTCAAGTGGGGGTAAACAAGTTCTAATGCTCGTAAGCGCACATGCATGTACTTTTGGCTTTTTTTACGAAAAGTTACAACTTGCAGACTATTTAGTACTGCGTAAAACTTTCTGCTGCGCTCGTCTATGTGTATAATGGCAGGGGAGGGAATATTTTAAGGTTACTTACTTTTCATTAGTCCGGTTCAGTGCCTCGTCAGTGAGTTTTGTTGTTGCTGACGCCGCTGTTGCGTTGGTGTATGAATGCTTGTTGGCAATTGCCTTGCTTCTGACTTGTTAAATATTTTCCGACACTTCCTTGCAGATGTGCACAAATACAGCTATGAACGTATGTAATTAGTTGCAGGCATACACACTTGTTAAATTACTCACTTTTATGCATAATGTAAGGATGTATGCATAAAAATGTAAATGACTGGAGTGGGTTAATTATGACATGCTTGTGACCTGGTTTCTGATTACGAGGAATTTTGTTCTGGTGCCTTTTGTACTAATATGTACGTATGTATACTTGTTCTGTCAACCTCATTTCGCCACTTCGTCATTCAAGTGTTTAAGCAGCATCCTATTTCAGTTTTGAATCGACGAAGAATCATTAAAAAAATTAATTTGGGGTTACCTTTAAATGATTTAAAAAAATCTAATATTTTTAGAAACCAAACTTTCGCTTAGTGAGGAGTAATAGATTACATCTGAGAAAAAATTTTTGTATACTTACATTGCGATTCACTTGAATAGGAAAATTATTTTCCTTCAAAACTTATTTCTTTATTTAACTTATTAAATTTAAAGATTATTGCGGTTTTGCATCCAAAAAATCGATTCAAGTACCGAGTACAGAATATCGATACATTTCATGAGATCTGAGTAGTATCGATAACTCGATACTTTTTGACAAGTACTGAGAAAGTATCGTGAATACGTAAAAAAATTAAAAAAAAAAAAACAAGTAAGGAAGTCTAAGTTCGGGCGGAGCCGAACATTAAATACCCGGCGCAAGTATTAAATATATGTTTTCCACCTTTCCGAAAGCTGCCGCTATATGATAAGCCGGGGTGTATAATTTTTAAGTAAATTAGCGTCCTTAAATTTCGAAATATTGAAATTTCTGAAATTTACCGGTTATATGAAAAACGGCCGTAATTTTAGTCCGATTTCAAAAATTTTCAACGGTTTGCTTTTGTGTGGTAAGCACAATAACCGTACCGAATTTAGTACAAATTGGTAGAACGGTTACCGAGACACATATATGTGATCATAAGTGGGCGGTGCCACGCCCATTTTCCAAAATTTTATCACAAACATATTTATTTGTTAAGAATTGTTGCACCCATCAATTTTGAAAAAATTAGCTTTAATGTTTACTGATTTATCAAGGATTACGTATTTTTCTAAATTACCGTTATATGGGATGTGGGCGTGGTTATTGTCCGATTTTAAAAATTGTTGGCCATTTGGTATGCTGTACCAGGGCCAAGAACTGTACCAAGTTTGGAAGAAATTGGTGCAGCGGTTACCAAGATATACACATGTAACCATAAGTGGGCGTGGCTACGCCCATTTGCCGAAATGTTATAATATTCTTATTTTTCGTCTAAAACTCATTGTAAATATCAATTTTGAGTGAATTATCTTTAGTAGTTACTAAAATATCGCAGTTTTCGTATTTCTGAAAATTACCGTTATATGGGAGGTAGGCGTGGTTATTGTCCGATTCCGCCCATTTTCAATCCCATCCGTCCTACGCCCAAAAGAAGTCCACGTACCAAGTTTCATTAAGATATCTCAATTTTTACTCGAGTTATCGTGTGCACAGGCGGACGGACGGACGGACAGACAGTCACCGCTTAATCGATTTCTCATTTCATTCTGATTATTTATGTATACATTTGTCTATATCTATCTCGATTCGGTTTGGCTATTACAAACAACCGTTATGTGAACAAAGTTATAATACCCTTGTGCACAAGTGCGCTCGGGTATAATTACGTAACAACTTTCGTTCGTTCAATCCCATTGAAAGAGGTTTAAAAATGAGCTAATAAACATTATTGTGACCGTTTTCGATATCCAATATGAACGTCGTGTAAATGAGCATTACTTCAATACTGTTATAACTCAAAAAACCAAAAACTCGCAGAGTTGCAAGTCAAAAATAATTTTTTAGTTACGGTTTTTAGCATTGCAGTGATACAGTAATACATATTTGGTTCTAGTGAGCTACTGGTACAGCTATAAAATCTTTACACAACATAAACGAAGGCTCGATAACTTGGTTGTAAATTTGAAATCCTACCCGTTGTGGAATAATTTTTAATTTTTTTTGAAAGTGAGCTTATTCAGAATATGCTTCACTACATTTGTTTCTTGTTTTCCACATTTGTATTTCATTTTCAAAGTGATTCCTTTTTTATAAAACTAGCGAAAAATACCATTCAATTTTTATAATTTGTGTCACGCATTT